TATTGTTTTGTTTGATTATACTAGAATAGTGGAAAGATTAAGTTCAAGGAAAGGTATTTATTTTCATTGATGAGATAACTGTACAATAAAATTGAAGGTGAAAAAAAAACAGGAGTAATCGGTAATCTATTGTTTTCCATAACTGCTATCCCTACTATCAGTAACTGTATTAAGTTTCTTTATTTCAGGGTGTTGCTTCTTTATGTTACATAAAATAAGAGTATCAAGTCTTTTAATTTAATTTTTTAATTTGTTTATAATGTTTATAATATTTGGAATTTGAAATAATAAGTTAATGAAACTTATCTGATTATTTTCCAAAATTAGTTTTACTCAGATAAAAAAAATAAAAATAAAAATAAACATAGAAATTTTGTACTCTGTATGAATCATTTTTCCTAGTTCAAACTTATATTTTCAATGGTAATATAATTTAAACACATTAAAGGTGGTAGTGCATAATAATGAAGTTTACAAACCATATATTTTTTGTAAATTAGTTTAGAAAATTCATCACTAAGCTCTTTTAAGACTATTTCAATGAGAAAAATTATAGGTATAGTTGACGTTAATAAAAAGAAACCTCTACCACTACAACCCATGAAGGTTCTTGGGTTGAGTACTATTTAGGGAAAGCACTGTTTCTTGGTCTATGATTGTGCAAGGAGATGATTTGACCGAGATAAGACTCAACCGCCAGGTTTTTCCCATAGTTGATGTTAATAATATTTAATTTTACATTGGCATAAAGAGTTAAACTAAAATTGTTAATGCCAATTTCGAGAAAATTTCAAATTTAAAAGTTCCTTGGTATATACTTATCTTAAATATGTAGTTTCATAGGACTCTTGGTGTTTGAACTAGGCTGTTCACATACGCAAGATGCACTTAAAACATGTATATCTGTTGAAAACTAGGAATCAAAATTTTTTATGGCTGTAGTAGTTTCTCTTATATGGAAGTGAAAAAAAAAACAGCTCATGTTTAATTTCCACACCAATTATGATGAGCCTTTTAATTTGATTGATTTGCGATTTCTTTATTATTTCCTAACTGTTTACCCATGGTAAAAAAAAAAAAAAAAAAAAAAAAAAATGCTATATAAATGAAGTTTTGATCCACAGAATTCATTATTTAATGGTCATATTGTCTATTACCATTAGGAGAGCAGGAGATAACAAAATCTTCAAACATTCATAAAAGCAGATATAACTGTGGAAATTGAAACATCCTCATTTGGGCTGAATTGATAATGATATTAGAGTGCTGATTTTCAGATTCGATTGTTTGCCATTTTATTGAGGATATACCACCACTTGTAATGAGGGGGCATTAGTCTATTAGGAATTAGTGTATCTTGTATGGTGGTGGAGGGGATGGAATTAGTTTGATAAATAGGCCTCATGATCAGGGGTGCATATCCTATCCCCCTCCCAATCGTTGGTGCAATTTTACGGTTGATAGTAAAAAAAAAAAAAAATTGAGCAAGTATTCGAGTAGGCAGATTGAATTTTGTAGTTCCTTTAGATCTGTCTAGTCAATGATTGATAATAGCAAAGACATATTTTTTTAATATGTGTTTTAAAGGGGTCAACCATCAGAAATAAAGACATTTAAAATTTGTTAATCGATTCAGATTTCATCATATCAAGTTTAGGAACTGAATCAATGTACAATATCACTGGGAGCAAAAAGTTCGTGTTCTGAAAGTGACTTGAAAATTATTTTTATGAAATTTCATATATATATATATATATATATATATATATATATATATATATATATATATATATATATATATATATATATGTGTGTTCTAAAAGTGACTTGAAAATTATTTTTATGAAATTTCATATATATATATATTCATATATATATATATATATATATATATATATATATATGAAATTTCATAAAAATAATTTTCAAGTCACTTTTAGAACACAAACTTTTTGCTCCCAGTGATATTGTACATTGATTCAGTTCCTAAACTTGATATGATGAAATCTGAATCGATTAACAAATTTTAAATGTCTTTATTTCTGATGGTTGACCCCTTTAAAACACATATTAAAAAAATATGTCTTTGCTATTATCAATCATTGACTAGACAGATCTAAAGGAACTAGAAAATTCAATCTGCCTACTCGAATACTTGCTCATTTTTTAATATATAAATTATTTTATTTGATGTATAACTATTTTATACTAAAAGGTTATAGAAGTACAACAGTAATATTTCATATGTATTCACATGACTTTTAAACATAAAAAATATTACAAAGATAAAATAAAAATTAATATTTTATTATTTTGCTTTTAATACATGCATCCGATCGACTAAATGGCTTGAGTTGAAATTCAATATCTTCAAAAACATAAACAGACAAAATTTGAGCAATTTACTGTAATTTCCGAGTTAGAGCCGATTTCCAAATAACCTCACGCTCGGCCCAGTATGAGCCGCCCAGAAATTAATATTAACTGAACCTGTTGGGAATCGAACCCCAAAACCTTTAGAACTAGTTTCTGTGCTCGCCCACCACGTTCTCTTTTTGTTACTATAAGTATCGATTTAGTGTAGGTCAAAGGTTCAGAAGCGCATTGGTGATTAATATGAACGGTATTGAATTATTCTCTAATCTATTAGGCCTATGAGCAATAATTTAAGTAATTAATTTGAGAAGAAGTTGATCGGCAGAGCGGTACTACTTATGTTATATATTATAACAGTATTTTATTGTGTTTGCCACCGTTTCTACCTACGTTGTTTGTCTTCACCAGGGCATTTCTTCTGGCATTGTCGAACAAAGTTAATGAAACACTATTATAATATAAAGTATGATATATTGACCACACCCCCGACCAACTTCATTTCAAATTATAATTACGGCCAATCATCTCAATTTATCATGTCAATTAAATAATGAATAATGTTTTTTTATTTCTTAATGATATTTACAACTGTATTAAAGAAATACATTTATTTAGTAAATTTGAGCATATAGATATGACGTGAAAACACTTGCTGAGTAACTACCCAATGGTAATGATACTCAATCACTTTGACGATATGTCTGAATTAGGAGATCACGAGGCCATCTTCTTTTCAGAAGCCTCGGAGGGTTATCAGGAATTGAAGAGATAACGTAGTAATCGGAAACGTCGAGCGGTTTCTTGTCGTTTTAGTCTGGTATGATAAATAATGATAACATAGTTTTATATTTGTGATTTTTTGATCTCTTTTCGTTTTACCTCATTAGGGCTGTTCTGATCGGTATTACTCATTATATTATACGTTTTAAATTTATCTAAACATTATAATTCAGATTATCTTAGATGTGGTCTTATTTTCTTATTTCCATTTACTTCATTACATTCGGCTGTATCTTTGCTAAAATGGTCTGATTTCGACGGATTATTTTAGTTTTTGTATATAATTCGGCAGTCTCTGTGATTCTCATGTGTATAATCAATCCATAAATTTTTCACTTTTTGAATCGAGCGGCAAATAATGATTTTTTTTTAAAATGATTTTGTTCTGGAGTATGTGCTTATTTTTTGCTCCTGAAGGAGACAATGCCCTGATTAATGGATTTGATGAAGAACTGAGTACCATCTCCTTTATGCTTATGTATGGTTATAATAAAATTTAGAAATTGCTATACAAAAATTGAGAATGTATCCTAATAATGTTAAATAAAATTAAATAAAGCTGTTTTATAATTTACTGGTATGTTATTATATAGGGATAATTTTTTTTCTGTAATTTTTTTTTTTTTTTATACGAACCGTCCAGCAAAGACCACGGGAATATCATTTCCGTTTCCTCTTCACACCCTCAGCCTTCCTCTTACTCCAATACTCTCTCATCCTCCTGGACTGTTCCTCTCGCTCTTCCTTAGTCCATTTTCTCCTTCGTCTCTCCCTCCCACCTACAAGAACCCCAATTCCTTTCAGTTTTTCCCTAAAAAGCTCTCTATCCAAGCAATCTTTATCCGTGATTTTTAGCCTGTCTAGTTCCTCTTTTATTTGTTTTACATATCCCCCCATACTTTTATAGCTGCAAACTTTGTCAAAAATTTTCTTGTTCAGTCTTTCACTATTCATCCTGACCATGTGCCCGTAGAACCTCAGTCTTCTGGTCCTGACGACTGTTTCCAAATCTTCTTTAAATTTCTGTAAATTTCTTTATTGGATTTTAGCCTGTATCCCTCTTGATCCTTGGGTCCGTGAATCCTCCTCAGAATCTTCCACCCAATCTTCAGGATTTTCTCTAGGCTCGGAAGGCTGACTGTTTCCATTCCCTATAATATTATAGGTCTTGCTACTGTACAGTAATGCCTTATTTTTTGCATTTGAGGACAAATTTTTCTTGTTGTAAACATTGCTGGTGGCGAAGTTCAGTCTTTCCAGTTTGGTTATTCTTCCTTCGATTGATGCCTTATCCGTTCCGTTACTAGATATTATCTCCCTAGGTATTTAAACTTTTTGGTCGCTTTTATGTTCCCATATTTTGTGTCCAATATTTTCTTGGTGAAGTTGGTATCTGTTGTCATAATTTCTGTTTTTTCATAAAAGATATGTAGTCCCATTTTCTCGGATATTATGATTATTGTAATTGGAAATTAATTATTTAATATTTAGGATTAAAGTTTTTGGATATAGGGGTAAATTTAGATATGTTTAGGAGAAAATACAGAACTGTCCTGGCAATATCTGTAGTTGAACATAACGAATTTATTTTATTTTATTTTATTATTATTTTTTTTTTTTTTTACCATGAACTAATATAAGTTATTTGTTTACAGGTAAGTGCATACTTCTATTAATTAAATACCATATTTAGTAAGTACTTTTTTATTTATTTTTTTATATTTTAATATAATCATTATTAGCTGTTTTGTGATGAAGCAGATTAGTAGTTAGCTGGGGATTTATGGTAAGTTTGGTTGATGCCTTTAGAGACTAAACTAATTTGGTTAATAGTTTTCAATTAGAGAGGAGAAGCCTCGACTCAAAACCCGAGACTTGGTCCACTCGCGTGTCGCTTACTCGGAACCAATTTGTATGCAAATCGCCACGACTACCATCCCAGCCCTCTCTTCCTCTCGCTGTTCCTTTATCCCTTCTTTATACGTCGGCTCTGTATATTGTTGGTTGGGTAGTCAGTTAGGTGAGCGGTGGGGGAGGTCACAGTCATACTGAAAAATCGAAAAAAAAATAATAAAGAATTTATTTTGTGCCGAAGTTTCAAATCTGGGCTGAGTAAAGACAAGATAAAAAAAAAAAAACTAACAAAAATGATTACTGGACTGTTTTTTAAAATGAATGAGTGATAGTCACTTGGAGCTAGGTCTGGTGAATAAGGAGGGTGGGGCAAAGGTCTAAGGCTCAATATCATCTGACATATTAAAAATTCATTTATTTCCAAAGCCGTAAAAAACCATGGTTAAAAAGTATTATGTTCGTAAACCATATTCTGTACTGAATCTATAATTAGTTGAATATTTATATGCAAAGATATTAAGCTACGTCATTTTTAAATAAGGTTAATATTTTTCACTCCTTCCTACGATTGATAAAATATGTTTAGTATAGAACAATCTTGTAGCGTGCTAAAACTTGCGAGGTAGAGGTTAAACGAAAAAAAAAAGAAATTATAAAGCTAAAGTAAAATACTACAAAAAATAATAATCTAAACAAAATATTAGCTTAAATATAACAAATCACTTGGAACCCCCATACCAGACTGAAACGACTAAAAACCGCCCGACGTTTTCGACTACTGCAGCACTTACTAGACAAACGCTCTAAGCTTTCAATCAATTACAAACGACTCATTTATATGACAATAATAAGACCTTTATGGACTTACGGAATTGAGCTTTGGGGCTCCACTAAACCATCGAATTCCTCTCGTATCCAATCTTTACAATCCAAAATCCTCAACGCTCCTTACTTTGTCACAAATAAAACCATTCATAAAGACCTTAATGTTCCATATGTTTCCGATTTGGCCCAATCGAGATACCTACCCTTCCATAACAAACTGCAGAACCATCCGAATCATCTCGTTTCAAACCTTGCTTCCTCCTCGATCCCTGATAAGCCTCCGAGGCGTCTGAAAAAAAAGACGGCCTCGGGACCTTCTAATGTAGAACTTTAATTTGAGTTCTACCAATGGGTAGTTTCTCTTCATGTTGTACGTGTCATGTTACCAATGTCACATTTACTTGTTGTATTTTCCATGTAATACAGTTGTAAATTTGATTAAACAAAAAAAAAAATATATATAACAAATATTTTTTTATTTAACTTTCATGTAAAGCTTTAAGGAAAGTCCATGGTGAATAAATACTAGTCGACCAACCAGAATTTTATTTATGTATCGCATATCTTTTAATTGATACATTGATTTGTTCATGCCTGTCGTTTTGTTTAATTATTTATTGTGTTATAATGAACAATTCTTCAGAAACGAGCGTGGAAAACGTTATCGATATGATTGTAATGATGTGTATGTGATGATCAGTTTTCCTGCTCCAAACCCTATGTTGTATTAATATTCTCATTAATAGAATACTCCCCCTGCGGTCTGTTATCGATACTTTACTACCTCGATGTATTGATATTGGTCGTAATTAATTTGAATGATGAATTATATTAATTTTAGTTAGTTCTTATACGATTTCTGGTCTGAATATTTTCCTCGCTACCTCGATATGATAATAATTTAACTCTATTCGTTATTGTTTATTTATTTTCCATGTACATCGCGTTTTGGGTGATTCTAATATTAATTGGCTTTTTGATTTTCTTGGGTTTTACATTAGTTTTCTAATGTTTTTCTATATTCGAAAAAAATTATTTTTGGTTTTACTTTTTAAGTTATTTGAATGAAATACGATGGTGATAATAAAAAAAAAAAGAAGAAGAAAATGTCATTGTTCGTCGCGTTACTATCCCCAAGATCTGGATGCGAAGGTCATCCCGTCATGAAATGAAACACTCAAAACTTATTAAATTTTAACTAAGAGGTATTTCACTGTTATAAAATGGATTTAGAATTATATTTATTTATTATTTTTTACCTCTTATAATTTGAGGATAAAACAATATGTTTAAGGCTTGTGAAAAAAAAATAATCACTTAAAAAATATATGAAGAGAAAAATAGTTGGGGTGATCAGTAATAAATGGTAATATACCATTTATTTTTGCCTTCTTACCATTTATTTTTGCCTTCTTATTTGATTGATCACCCCAACCATTCTTCTCTTCATTATTCACGACAGTCAACCATTTACCCACGATAAAAAAAAATATATAATTAAAAAATATTATGAAATTCTCAAATAGGGATAAATTCAGGGGTACAATGAATAAGATAAAGGCTCTTGTAATAGAAGGAGGAGAAAAGAAGGAAGGAAGTGGACAGACCAACAGAAAAAGGAAATGAGTGAAAAACAAAGAAAGTTTGGACTAAAAGGAAAACCAAGAAATAATGAAATACGCGCGGTCCTGGTCTTAATCTCCAATAAAATATATAATTTATAAATAAATTTATACACAGACAGAATTTTGAGTTATATTTTAAAAAACCTCGTCATAATATGTGCAAGTGTAGTTCTGAAAGGTAGTTCATATCTAAATTTTACTTTTTGACTTAAGTTCATACGTTGGCTTGATCCAATATGCGACGACCACTTGACCGATTTATTCCTTAGATTTGACATAAAATTAACAGCACGTGATCCACATCGTTTCAAAATGGCGGTCGATTGGAACGGAAAAAGGAAATGAGTGAAAAACAAAGATAGTTTGGACTGAAAGGAAAGCCAAGAAATTATGATATACGCGCGGTCTTGGTCTTTATCTCCAAGAAAATATATAATTTATAAATAAATGTATACATTGACAGAATTTTGCGTTTGTTTTTTAAAAACCTCTTCATAGTATGTTCAAGTGTAGTAGTGAAAGGTAGTTCATATCTAAATTTTACTTTTTGACTTAAGTTCATACGTTGGCTCGATCCAATATTCCTTAGATTTGACATTAAAGTAACATCACCTTGTTGGTTGATCCATACCGTTTCAAAATGGCGGTCGATTGGAGATTCTATAGAACTTTGTTTTGTTTTTTTCTGTTTTGTTGGTATTATAGACCTTGTATATATTTTCCCGCCTTATCTAGCCTACTCCATCCATGCCTATCTTGGGCTGTGTTCTTTTGCAGTTATCTATATATCCATTTACGGCCATTCATGAAGATATTGAAAAATATAAAGTGTATGGCATTTTACTAAATCTGTTTAAAATAACAGTATATTTCTAATTTTTTTTTTAGGTCTGTATCTTTTCAGTTAGTACATCTGCTATTATTATATATATATTGATAGAAGCAGCTTCTTTAATTATTGGTAGTTCGCTACTCTCGAGATATATCATAGCGAATATTTCAAGTACTCGATACGCAAATGAAGTATAGTGCTTAAGGGACCCTTTGAACCGGACTGCCCGAGCTGGGTCTTGATGAATATCTCAAGCGTTATGGGCTGCTTCACCCATTGTCCGAGAGTTCAGCAACCCAAGTCTCTCCCGGCGCTATTTAGTCTGATGGCTGTAATTGTTGTCTTGTCTCTCATGCTCCGGTATATCTGTCATTGTCAACGTATATTTTTATCGAGTTGGACTTTTGTAATAATATTTCAATACATTACACCTGCATAATTCATTTAATAGCACTATTTAAAAACAATATGAGTTTTTTTTTTTTTTTTGTAAAAATCAGGCTCTGTGCGCACATCACACAACTTTCACTTATCATCCTACTTTGATACTAAAATCTGTGTACCCCGGTGATAAAGAAGTAGTAGGGCCAAAAAAATCAAAAACTTAACCCCTCTCAAGATCAGAGCTTTCACGTTTCAAGACGCATAGAATTCGAAAAACGAATAAAAATTTTTTGTCCGTCCGCCGTCCGCGCATTTTCTCCGAAACTACTGGACCGATTTTTTTTCAAATTTTGATATAAAATCAGAGGTCACCCGAGGATGATCCTCCTTCATCGACATTACTCTCCGCCTTTAACTTTCAAAATGGCGGCCGAAAATAGATATAGACTGTAGCTCCTAAACGAATGTACAGATTTCAATGAAACTTCGCTAAAGTCATTTTCTCGACGCCCTTTAAATTTATCTATATAACACACTTCAACGAAAAGAAGCTGGAAAAAAAGTTACGAGGGATGGTAAAATTAAATTCCGAATAACTCGAAAACTTTTTAATTTTTTGTTGATATTGTATATAGTTTTTTAAAAGTTTACGAAATTTCCTAAAAAAAAAAAAAAAAATCGTTAAAATCGGACAATTAGGAGCAAAGATATGTTCTCCGTTTTTTTAAATATGTTCTACTCCAAATGTTATATTCTTTGTTTGATTTTTTAATTTTGAATGTGTTACTGAAGTAATGCTATTTTTTTCTAGCATATTATTAATGATTAAAGAAAAAGCATTTTAGTCCAATAATTTTAATCACCTTTTGTTTTTTTTTTCTTTGTAACTCGGAACGTAATGTTACTTTAGATGTATAATTGTTTGGAAATAATAAACCATTATGAAATAATTTGCAGCGTTTTTTTTTAAAATTAATTATCGTTATGTGTATATGAAAAAAAATCTTTCGGGCTGAAGCCCTCCCCCCCAAAATTAAATCCTGGATCCGCTAGTGATGTGACTACAACCCCTAACTCTCTCTCCCCAATTATATTATATACAGGCAACTATTATAAATATTTTACATATAATTATGTGAATCTGAAAATTTAAACTTTAACATGAGAAGGAGTTAGTCGAGGGTGCGGTCAAATGAACAATAAATTAAAATATATTAATTATTTTAATTTTTGCCGACGTTTCGACCCACTTTGCAGGTCGTCTTCAGGGGGGATGTAGCACTGCGAGAGGCAGTTGAAACACTGACCGAATTTGCAGTGTTTCAACTGCCTCCCGCAGTGCTACATCCTACGCCCTGAAGACGACCTACAAAGTGGCTCGAAACGTCGGCAAAAATTAAAATAATTAATATATTTTAATTTTTTATTCATTTGACCGCACCCTCGACTAACTCCTTGTCATATTATATTAACGGTCAACCATCTCTAAGTCATTAAACTTTAACATTCTAACGACCTATCTCTGATAATATATTTCAAGAATGTTGTTCTTTTGTTTAATTTTCTTTCTGTTTTTTTTTTTTTCTTTTCTTCGATGGATCTTTTCGTTTTTCATTATGTGTTTCGTCGATTAATCTAAACGATACTTCACTTCTCTTTTACTAACGGTCGCTTCTTACAGTGGTGCCACCCTGCTGAGGGACAGTTATCGATTTGAGGTAGGGTATGGTAGGCCCCCACTCATGTTGGCACCACTGCTTTCTTCTCCCGCCAGTCCGAACCCGCCAGTCGCCGTTCGCGCGCCAACTGTCATGATGGACTGGGGCATAAGACGTATGTATCACCTGTAGTCTGTGTTTGTGTATTAGTGAATTTGTGTTTAGTGGTAGTGTATTGTTTAGTAAAATAGTGTTTGTCAAAAAGCTCGAATTATTCATTAAAAAAAAAAAAATATGCAACTCTAAATTTTTCTTTGAAAGTTTTTTTTTTTTACTGTGTTTTTGAATTTGCATGGACCAGGTTATATCTTTATTTATTTTTTTTATAATGGTACGATTTGTTTTAATGTTAAATTGCTCTGTAACAACCCAACTTATTTTGTTTGGTTATTACAACAACTTATTTAACTTGTTGACTCCTACAAGGTTTGAAAGTATTATTCCAGTTTATTTTAATTAAAATGGTCTGAATGTTCACTTATCTAAAAACAATTTTTCAAATTTATTATTTTAAAAATAAGAATTTATTCTAATGAATTTAGCGTGTAAACCTCTTTTTTTACATAAACATACCATCTACTGTTCAAGACGATATCAAAACTATATACAGAGTATTTCGCGACAGTTTAAAGAATACCCAGTATAAAGTTTAAGATGGCCTAGAAAATTGAAATACAGCCATTAAAATAAAATGTTTTTAAGACGTTAGTAAGTAAAGATATTTCCAACAGAAATTATTATTATTTTAACAAGGATGTTTAGTTTATTTTTTTAATCTTTCCTTTTGAACTTAAACTTGCATTCTAGCTAGAATTTTGTAACTTTGTTTAACAAATAAGAATCATCTCCTCTTTATATAGTCATATTTAATTGTAGCTATATCTTGTCTATCGAAATTGTAATAAAAGTTGTCGTGAAATACCCAGTATAAAGTTTTTGATATCATCTTGTAAGGTAGGCATCCTAAAATCAAAAAAGGATTCAGATACAAAATGATAGCATACTTATTGATAAAAAGTTACTTCAAAACAGATTTTGCGATGATGAAAAATCAGATAATTTTAATCAAAATAAGCAAGCTACTCTTCAAGATGACACCAAAACTTTATACAGGGTATTTCACGACAATAGTGAATACCATCTTGACAGAAAAGAGATGGATGCGATTCCTATGTGTTCAACGAAATTACTACTTGTCTTTAGTCTGAAGAATACATTCATAATTTCCTCAGAAAATATTTTATTCACTTGCCTCTATTCATTTTAATCTTCCAGACCATCTTTAACTTACATAATATACATCTTAAACATACTTACATACATTTTTTTAGAACCCCATTCTGTCTCTAGCCCCATTTGTTTTTGTTAGATTCTTCTTAAATAGACCAAATCGTTTTATGGTGCTTTTTATGTTGATTTGAAATTACGAAGCTTGCTTATTTTGATAAAAATTTTCTGATTTTTCATCATCGCAAAATCTGTTTTGAAGTAACTTTTTTTATAAATAACAATATTATCAATTTTGTATTTGAACCCATTTTTGATTTTAGCATGCCTACCTTACAAGATGATATAAAAAACTTTATACTGGGTATTTCACGACAACTTTTATTACAATTTCAATAGACATGATATAGCTACAATTAAATATGTCTATATAAAAAGGAGACGTTTCTTATTTGTTAAACAAATTTACAAAATTCTAGCTAGAATGCAAGTGTAAGTTAAAAAGGAAAGATTAAAAAAATAAATTAAACATCCTTGTTAAAATAATTATAATTTTTGTTGAAAATATCTTTACTTACTAACGTCTAACGTCTTATTTTAATGGCTGTATTTCACTTTTCTATGCCATCTTAAACTTAAATAATTCTCGGAACCTCTCAAAAATATTTTTTTAGGACCTCTGACTCGAGACATGCTATATCGATTTGTTAAATAAGAAAAAATATAAAAAGTCTCGACGTAGTAAAATTTTTGTTTTTTTATTTATTATTTTTTATCCATTCTGTTACTTGGACCTTGTTTATAGTGAAATAAGATTATATTCACACTATATGTATACAAAAAATATAAAATAAATAGAAGCAAAATAACAGCTGAATAATAATCAAAAAGTATATTAATTTAAGAAATAAATATACTTATTAAGTATAATTAGTTTAAGAATAAGGAAATTAAAAAAAAAAAAACACATACAGACTTTTATACACTAATTAAATGAATTATTAAAAATAATTAAAACATTTATGGATGTCATGTCAATGTCAAAACATTTTGTTCGTGGACCTCAATGCACAAATATATTCTTGAAAAATATTAATTTTGTATTACAGTTTTAGTTTGGTTGAGAATATACTTTATTTAATACAATAGGGCAGATGCATTGTTCGGTTTTCAGGGTATTGGATTTTGACAAACGAGAATTGAAATTAAGAAGAAAAACCAATGTAAAGAAAAAAAAAAAAAAAAAAGAATGTAGAAAAACCACTAATTTCTGTTAAGTTTTTTTTTCATACTAAAACTTTTATAAAATTAATTGAACGAAAGCAGGTTTCAGAACTATGATATTGGTTTATCCACGGGTCGTGTGCAAAAGTGTGTTTCATAGATCAAAGATACGAAAACGTAGGCATCGAAATCCGGTAGATTTTTGGGACGTGCTCTGCATTTTAAAGCCATAAAATATATAGTCCGTGTTACAGATTATTTTTTATTAAATTATTAACATCCGCCTGAAACTTTGTCAATTGCTTCATTTTATCGTAACCTACAACTATTTTATTTACGAAAACTTTTTGAATTGGGGCGTTTTAAATCTGGAAATTGGCAAACATTGTATATTTACTTAGGTACTAAAAATTCATATATACCAATTTGCTTTCCAATTGGATCGTAACATAATATCACCACAAAATCGAAAAAAAGGTGGCTTAAAAAAATATTGAGGCGTTTCGCCTATACAACCTCGTTATTCTGACATTTTGGGTCTGTAGGTCAAATTATCTTACGCTTCAATTGGAAAGCAAATAGGCATTTAGGAGTTTTAACACCTAATTAAATAAATATAGTTCGACGATCTCCAGATTGAGAAAACGCCCCATTTCCGAGAATTTTCGTAAATAAAATATTTGAAAGTTACGATGAGTTAAAGCTATTTACGAAGTTTCAGACGGATGTTAATTATTTGATAAAAGGGATCTGTACCACGGAACTAATACCCACGTTGCTGTGAGATAGTTATCACATATCGTTGAAGCTTATAGATTGCTATTTATTTTATCTTGTGATGATAAATCAAAAGTATTAAAATGTAAATAAAGGAGAACATTCCTGAGATCGTTATACGCCTTGAATAATATAAAATTATGAAACGTTCTGATATTTTAAACAAACATACGTTTTGTTTTTATAATTATTTATTATTTTAAATAAGTATATTTTTCAAAATTATTTTAATTTTGTTGGATGTTAACATAATTCGGTCTTAATAATCAAAACCAATGATCATGCTCTCCTGCAGCCGACTGGATTAGTAAAAGCTTAGGAATAGCTGAGACTAATTGCTTTTCTGTAAACTGAAGGAATATCTTATTGGGGCAAGTAAATGGTTACTACAATAGTTATAAAGCATGTAACTGCACCCATTATGCGCGTTGAATAGACTTTTTGATATTATAGTGTTTACAAGCTGTTTAGTTTTTTCCGAATTTTTTAAACCCAGCATTATTGTACATGTACAGTATAAATGTAACTACCAAATAAAATTTCAGCTTCACGGACATGTACAATTTTATTGGCCGTTCAGATGGTATATTGGTTAGAGAACAATTTTAAATATAAATATGGAAATAAGTAAATGGAATTATAAATTTGAAAACCTTTTTAAATTATTATATATGTATAATCGATGAATTGTGTAATTTTTGTATTCCCTGACTTCTAAAATTGATGTGCTTATTGTTCCCACATGAAGGAGTAGAAAATAACCAAAACTTAATCGTCAAGAGTTAACGAAGAGATGCGGTACGGACCAAAGAAATACCTCTGAGAAATAATATATTATATTATGTAAGGGGATTCTAAGAAAACACAGGAATAGTCTTTATACATTTTTTGTCAAATATGATTTTTTTTTGTCAGTACGCCATATTGTTCATCAAATTTAATGATTGAACTCTCATTTTGTCACACCTTTTCCCTCTCCCCAATTTCAGGAAAAAAAGTTATGAAGGAAAAGAAACTTTATTTGAGAATAACTCTCAAGAAGTGTACATTTTTTTTTCGATGTACTCTTGTTTGATTGTATATGATTATTTGAAAGATTAATAAATTCTTTAAAAAATCAATAAAAAAAATCATCTAATTTGGGTCATTACTAGCTAAGATACAGGTTGTTGTAATTCTTAAACATTTTGGTTCAAAACATGAGTGAAGTTTCATAACAATTTTCTTTTCCATGGTTGATTAAAATTATCAGGAAAAAAAAAGTAAAAATGATTCCTTCATCTTATGATAGCTAGAATTATTTAAATTTATTATTGTTTTGTCATTTATTCATTGACCAACAAATTATTCACATGGCCTAACTATTATGAGATTCTAGAGAAACATATGTATAAAAGTTCGATTCCAATTTACATAATTTGTATCTTTACTGATACTGATTTTATTTAGTTGATTATTCTTCAATTATTTTTCAAATGAGTATATATAATTCCCTAGGAGACTTATAAGTTTCGAGTTATTCGGAGGACAGTTGTTATTTTTAGGATTTTGTAATTTTTTTTTTTTAACCACTTAAGAATACGATTTTTTCAAAATCTAGCCTTATTGCACATCTGTAGTATTAGTGGAACTTCGAAGGAAAATTTTTGTCAGTGAACGAATTATTCTTTTATACATTAAAACAGGAATATTTTTGGTCGATTGTACCCTTGTCTAATTACATCATTTGAGAGATTACTAAATTCCTTACAAAACTAATAAAAAAATCATCGAATTCGGTCCATTACTAGCTAAGATACAGGGTGTTTCTTATGATAATTAGAATTATTTAATTTTCTAATTGTTTTGTCATTTATCCACTGACCAATATATAATATAGTATTCAAATTATTCGCATGGCCTAA